ATGTTACTTATTGTTTCACTGTAAACACCGGGTCCCCACCCCCCTCCCTTTCCTAAAGCCCCCTTGTTCTTGCTACCTATTCTCCGTCTTATCTTAATTTCTTTCAATTAAACTTCCCAACATTTTCCCAGGTCCCTCAACGATTATCCCCCCTATTTTTTTGCACCCTCTTTTATCCCCCTTTGCCTTTATACAAAGGAACTATGCATGCTTCTCCCAATCCCTAGGTCCTTACCCCTTTCCATACTTTTATTAAATAATGCCCCAACCCCCCAAAACTATTCCCCACCTGTTTTTAACATTTCTATTTTTACCCCATCATCCGGGCTCCCCTTACCCCTTTCATTTTCCTACTGCCTCACGAATTTCCCCCCACACTACAACTGGCTTTTCCCTCACCCCTACAGATGTTTTTTCCTTTCCCTATACACGAAATCACAGCTTCCCTATCTCATCAACATTTAAAAATTTCCTCAAAATTTCCCTTTCCCATCTCCCAAATACCTCTAACTCTCCTTTTAATAACTCTCCTCTCCATTTTTAACTGACAAACCCATTTTTTCTCTAGGTTTTTCTTAATTTTAATCTCACTCCAAAATTTTTTCTTATTTTAAAACAAAATTTTTTTGAAAAACATCTCACCCACTCTTTTAAATTTGCTCTCTTTTTTACATTGCTTCACCACTCTCAACTTCTCTCTTTTTTCCATATACTCTTCCCTCCTTGCATCCTTCTACTTTGTAAAAACTTCTCATTTCAATTTTTCCCTTATATCTTTTACTCATCATTCCCAATCGTCCTCTTCCCCCCTGCACCCATTTTCCTGTAACCACAAATTCGCTGAACACTCAACACTCATTTTAAAAAACCTACCCCATCCCTTTCGCCCCCCATTCCCATGCTCCATTAGCCCTCTATCCCCCAAAAGCTGTTTTATCTTCCCCAAAAATGCCTCCTCTTTTAGTTTATAAACCTTCACCTCTCTTTCCCTGATGCTTCTTTTTTCCCTTTACCCCATTACCTTTTACTCTCAGTGTAGCTACAACTGAAAGTATCTGATATATCTGGGGGCCCCTCTTTAAACATGTACATCCGAAGTCTACTCAACAGTTTTTATTCCCAAATACAAAACCCAAAAAAACTACTGCTTTCGCCCTACTCATATGTGTAACTTATTTACCCTCTTTTTCTTAAAATATTATTCCCTATAAAAAACCCCCTTTCTATACAAAGTTCAATCAAAGGGCCCCCATTATCTTTACACCTGGCACCCCAAACTTCCCTCCCCAAACCCTCCTAAAAGTTTCCCTATTTTTGCATTCAAGTCCCCTACCAAAATTTTACTTCTCATTGGTTAAAAGGGTCCTATAATTCATTAAATCTCCAAAACTCTCTCTCTCCTCTGCTTTCCTCTTTCTCCGGTGCATACACGCTTTTATGACCCACTTTCGCCCCAAATTTTTACTTAATCCACATAATTTTTGAATTTACACATTCAATTCTCTTTTCTTTCCATAACTGATCATTTAACTTTATGCTACCCTTCCTTTGCTCAATTTCTCCGATACTCCAGTTTTAAATCCCATTTATTTCCCCCCCTGAAATCTCCTCCCCCCTCAGCTTTTTTTTTCCGCTTAGGGCCAGGACATCCAATTTTTTTCATTTAACTCAGCAATCATTGTTTTTGTCATCTGCACAAAACCCAGCACATTTAAGACCCGTTTTAAAAATTTTTTTTCTTTCTTTTTTAGTAATTTGTATAAGGAAAAGGGGGTTTACCGCCATTGCTCCCGGCTTTTAGTCGCCTCATACGACACGCAGGGCTTAGGGAGGAAAGTTTTTTCCATTTCCCCATGGACAACAAGAAAAATAAAAAGAAAAGAGTATTTAAAAAAGGGGGAAAAAACCTAGATGTATGTATTATTATATATCATTGCGTGTCTGTAAAGTGTGACCAAAGTGTAAAGGGTAAAAGATACCCGTTTTTAGCTGTTTATGGACAGAAAAAAAAACCAGCAACCCTCCCCATCTGCAAAAAGTTACAGGTTTTGTTTCACGTCATCTGGCAGGCGGTAGTTTTTCCCCGGGGGGTTTATATTTATATATTTTATATAATATATTTTTAATATATTTATATATTAGATCACTTTCTATTGTAGTTACTGAGGAAAAAAGGAAGAGGGAACAAGGAGAAATAGAAGCATCGGGAAAGGGAAGAGGGTAAAAGGTTTTTTATAAACAAAAAAAGAAGGGCAGTTAGGTAAGATTAAAACTTTTTGGAGGATAGAGGGCTAATGAGGCATAGGCAATGGGGCGAAGGGGTATGGGGTGGGGTTTAAAAATGTATGTTAGAGTGTTCAGAGAATTTTGTGGTTACGGAAAGTGGGTGAGGAGGGAAGGGAGCGATTGGTGGAATGATATGAAAAGAGAGTAGTAAGGGAAAAAAAGTTAGCATATGAGAATTTTTTTTACAAAGTAAAAGTGAGCAAGGGGGGAAGAGTATAGGAGAAAAAGAGAAATAAGAGAGTGGTGAAGCAATGTAAAAGAGAGAAAATGAGAGAGTGGGTGAGATGTTATCAACAAATTTTTTGAAAAAAAGAAAAAGTTTTGGAGTGAGTTTAAACAATTTAAAGAAACCTAGAGAAAAAAGGGTTTTGTCAGTTAAAAAATAGGAGGGGGAAGTTATTAAATGGAGAGTTAGAGGTATGGGAAAGGGAAGGGAAAAATTTTTTGGGAATTGTTAATGTTGATAAAGATGGGGAAGCTGGATTTGTTGTATAGGGCAAGGAGGAATAACATCTTGTAGGAGTGAGGAAAGCCAGTTTTGAGTGTGGGGAAGTTCGGAGGCGTGGGTAAAAATGAAAGGGGGTAAGGCAGCCGGGATTGATGGGATAAAAAATAGAAAATTTTAAAAAACAGGTGGGGATTAGTTTTGGAGTGGTTGGTTCAATTATTAATAAATGTTTGGGAAAAGGGGGGAAGGTACCCAGGGGTTGGCAGAGAGCAGCTTTTCCTTTGTATAAAGGCAAAGGGGGTAAAAGAGAGTGCAAAAATTATAGGGGGATAAGTCTGTTGAGTGTACCTGGAAAAAAGGGAGGAGATTTTAATTGAAAAAAAAAATTAAGAGTAAGCGGAGAATAGGTAGCAGATGAACAAGGGGGGCTTTAGGGAAAGGGAGGGGGTGTGGGGCCCGGTGTTTACATGAAACATATAAGTAACGTATTTAAAAAGGCTAAAGAGGTCTTTGTGGATTTATGGGTTTGGAAAAAGGGGTAAGACAGGGTGGAAAAAGGGGGCAATGGGCAGATGTTGAAGTGTATGGTGTGGGGTAGGTTTCTGAAAGCAGTGAAGAGTTTTTCGAGGATAGTGAGGGCCCAAGTTAGAGTATGTAGGAAAGGGGAAATTTTTTCCCAGTAAAAGTAGGCCCTTTGACAAGGATGTGTGATTCACTGGGTTTTTTAATATATTTATAGTGGGGGGTAAGAGAAAAAAAGCAGGGTCTTTGGAAGGGCTTGAGTTAAAAGATAAAGAATCACACCAAAGTGGGGGTTGTCACAGCTGTCTTTGCTGATGACACGTGCTTTGGGGGTTTGAAAAGAAGTTGCGAGATTTGGGGGGTGAATTTGGTAGGGTGTGCAAAAGAAAAAAATTTAAAGGTGAAAAAGGAAAAAAAGTAAGGTTTTTAGGATAAAAAAAAAGATTTGGTGATGAAGTTGAATATCAGATTGGAGGGAGGAGTATGGGGGAGGGAACGTATTCAGAATTTGGGATGGATGTCAGCGGAGGGTTTGAAAGATGAGTAAATCATGAATTTTGGGGGGAAAAAAGTGAGTTGGGGCACTTTGGGAGTCTTGGGGACAAAGAATTTGTCCCTTTGGGGGCAAAGAGGGGAAATGTTTAGAGTATAGTTTTTCCAAAAGCTCTTTTTGGGTGTGAAGCGGGGTGATGAATGTTGCAGCAGGAGAAGGTTTGGGGGCAGTGGAGTTCATGTCTGGGGCAAGGTGGTGTGAATTTTAATGAGAGAATTCGTAGTTTGGAAATTAGGGAGGTGCGGGATTACCAAAACTGTTTCCAAGGGCTAGGAAAGGGGGGTTTTTTAGGTGGTTCGGACATGTAGAGAGAATGGACGAAAAAGAATGACTTCAAGGTGTATCAGTGTGTGGGAAAGGGAAAGGGGGGTAGGGGGCGGCCTAGGAAGGGTTTGGGGGGAGGGGGTAAAAGGGGTTTTGTGTGCGAGGGGCTTGGGCTTCCAGCAGGCATGCGTGAGCGTGTTTTATAGGAGTGAATGGAGACAAATGGTTTTAAACTTGACGTGCTGTTTGGGGGTGTGACAAAGTAACATTTAGAAGGGATTCAGGGAAAACCGCAGGCCGGGTTGGCTGGAGTGGGAAGTACATGCCTGCACCTGAAGGAGGGGGGTTTAATGTTGCAGTTTAAAAACTGTAGTGAAAGCACCCTTTTGGCAAGACAGTGATGGAGTGAATGATGGTGAAAGTTTTTTTTTCGGGCCACCCGCCTTGGTGGGAATCGGCCGGGGTGTAATAAAAAAAAAAAAAAAATATTTATATATATATATATTATATATATTTATATATATATATATATTATATATATATATAAAAATAATGCAAAACAAATGATGGAGAGAGTCGAAAGATAGCATAGGCCTTTTAGGTGCAGTGAAAGATCAGGGCCTGCAGTGTTGTAGAAAGAGGGTAAAATCCGAGTAAACATGTTCAAAAAACTTTCAGCAAAATCACTTACTTAAAGTGTTTGTTTGGGTTTTTTCCTATTCCTGCAAAAATTTTAGCTCCTGATGATTGTAGAGCCAAAGAAAGGCCTAGAGATCTTTTAACTCCCCCTGTAGTGGTTTGATTTTAAAGTTACAGTTAGGTTGAAGTTGTCATCTCTATTTGTTTTACCCAAGGCATTCTGCTTATTGATGTAATACAGTGGTAAGTATGTGTATATTTTTTTAATGAGGACATTTTATCATACAGAGCATCATCACCTCTTGCGCAGCTGTACACAACTTCAACAATGGAACACCACCATTTTGATCAGAGTGTTATGATCCTCAACTCTGCGGGTAATCAGATCCTCAGCAACTGTACACCTGATGAATATTCACGGGTAATAAGTGTCCTAGAAGATGCCATTCTTGCTACTGATTTGGCAGTATATTTCAGGTATGTAGTGATGTTGGCTGATTTTATGACTTAAAGTAATTAGGTTATTATTTTTAGGAGGGGAGTCGTAAATCCTTGGGAATCATAAAGTGCCTGGAGAATGGGAGGTATTCAGGTTTGATCCAAGGAAAACCAGAGGAGGTCCAATTCATGGACACCCAGTTTCACTTGTAGAAATAAAGATTGTTATTATTATAATTATTATTATTAATAGTATTATTATAAAACTCCATGGAGGAGGGTACTCCGCTGACCTAATAATAATATTATTATTATTATGGTGTCGGTGTTTTGGGTGGGTGGTCAGATTCATACGTGTTTTGATACGTGTGCACTGGCAGCTGGGCATGTTGATATGTGTTCATCTTTCATTATACATGCAAATGTGAAGTGTTTTCCCCACAATACAAACACCTCACATTGTGTACAACTTTTTGTCACGTTGGTGTAGAAGATTGCATAACAGCAAGACTCCCATTCTCATGCAACACACCCTTTTTAGAGCTAATGGCATTATGAAGGAAGGCATACGAAAGGAATGATTTTGTACAGTTGCCACCAGTAATACTCTATACAGTTTCTCTGGTGATGTTGTACTAGAGAAAATGTGTTATAGCAATTATTGTGGTGTACTCCTTTATGCTCGCCTGGCTACCACACCTCACAATTATGTTAATTTGTTTTAGTATGATTGTATGAATTTTGTTAGCATGTTTCATATATAATTTTGTAAAAATGCCATACAGAGAATAATGAAAATGTCTATAATAACAGTGTATGACATTTAAGTTGGTAAATATATTTATGTACAGGTACTCATAAATACAGTTATATAAATTATCATACATAGCAGCAAATGTGTAGATTACCTAGGATAGCCCAAAAAGTCAAAGTGACTTATTTTCATTGGGGTCCCTGAAAGATTGATGCCAACAGCATTTGGTGTTCCCAGGCAGTCACCTGTCCAAGTACTAACCAAACCCAAAGTTTCTTAACATTGCTGATTGGACGAGAAGCAGTGCATTCAACGTGGTATGGCTTATTGCATCAACACTAGTGAGACACTCATAGCTACTCCCTCACCTGGTGTAGTGACTCCTACTTTGTAACAATGCCAAATAATGATTTTAATGTACCTGCATGCCAACACAGTAAGTTTATTGAGGTATAGGTATATTTAAGTACTATTATCAGTAGTATCTCTAATACTATCTCAGCCATAGATATCTTGCTCACTGAGTCAATCATTTCTAATTTTGAACTTAGAGTAAGAGCCTTACGGCTCCTCTCTCCTCTACCTTTAGATTTCATTGTAACGCAATAAGAATACGTATATATAAAATACATAATAACTTTAAAACACTTGAAACTATGGAAGGTTCCCAAACATAGCTGAGAGAGACACAGATGCTGTAAAAGCAAATCAGTAGCCATATAAACAAATTTTTGAGAATAACTTGAATTGTCCATACATATTAACAAAGTGCCGTAAAGTGAAGCACAATAAAGCGGGGGGCCCTCCTGTGTTGTAATTGAATGTAACATAATTGTTACTGCACGGTGACCTGATTATTATTATTATAATCAAAAAGAAGCGCTAAGCCACAAGGGCTATACAGCGCTGCAGGGTAGGGAAGGAAGCAAGGGAATTGGATGGCAGAAGGGAGGGGGGATGATCAGCAGGTTACAGAAAACAGCGGGGCAGGGGATAGTACGGGGGTAGAGGGTAGCAAGAGATTGAAGTAGAAAGGGCTGAAGGGGTATCAAATTTTTGTGAAGTAAGTGTCGTTGTCAAAAAAGTAAATGAGGACCCGGGATGAAAGGGGGGGGTCCATCACGAGAAGGGAAGGCAAAGAAGAGCAGCGGAGCGAAGACGACGCAGGGAAATTCTGCGTGCTCGTTATAAAGGGGGCAGTCCAACGAAGTGGCTGACGATAAGGAGCTTGGCAATTCTCACAAGGGAGCAAGACGCCTCTCCATGAGATACCCCTTGATAAGAGAGTAGGGCCCAATGCAAACGGAAGATGTCTCCCAACCTCGACATGGGATAAGAAAAAACGCCATAACCATATCGTTTAATAACTAAATTTTTGTTGCCGAGCATAGTAGCCAACTTGTTTCCAACGGGTTGAAGGGGGACGATTTCAGAAAAATGCCCGAAAATGGAATACCTCTATAAGAAACTGGTAGGTATGTACTGCTCCCGCGCCATGTCTGCTGTTCATTGCCCTGTTCAACGACCGGGGCCCCAACAAAAAACAATATTTTTAGCTTGGAAAAGTGGGGCGTAGCCAATGTTGGATAAGGGGGACAAGGGGGTGAGGTGTATCAAATTTTGTATAGCCGAAAGCATAAGGGATCTGAACAACCACAAATGATGACACAGGCATAGATGCAATAGGGATAATGCGAAAGGTGGCTATAATTCACAAAAAAATACAGCCGAAGATATAAATGCCTTTACACGTGCCCGGGAAACCTGCGCGAATCCTACCCCGTCAGAAGATTAGACCCCATCTGTGTACACAGCAAGGGCATGAGAAGAGAGTGAAAGTGGTCAAGAAAAAAGAGAGGGAAGCGACCATAGACAGTTGGGTTTTTGGCAGGAGGGAGAAAGAACAACTCGAACAGCTGGAATTCCCAGGGGGAGGGAAAATGAATCTACATGTACATAAAAAGGGTGTTTTTGAAGAGAACAAGAGCGAAAAAAGGCGAAGAGAAAAGGGACGGAGTAAACAGGGCGGCGAACAAATAAAGAAGTTACAAATTTCCCAGTGACCATTCAAAGGGGAGGTTGCGGAGATCATGAGAGCGACATAGTACGCGGGGCAAGGGGCACACTGCGATCGGATAAGGATGGAACTTTCGCTTCTGCATAGAGGCCTCGACAGGGAAGAGCGGAAAGCACCAAGGCAAAACGTAACCTTGGGTGTGAAGGGGGTTAAGGCAGAGAGAGTGCAGGAGAGCCGTGAAAATTTCTGGTCACCATAATAAATTTTCGATAAAATAAGGGTGGAATTAGGGAAGGGGGTTCGACGATCAGCTCCCCACGAAAGATGAGCAAGGTTTGAAGGTTCACCGCTGTGACAAGTTCCTTCAAGGGGTAATTTGAGGTTTCCAGGAAAACCCTACGATCAAAGAGGGGGCCCAGAAACTTCTGATCACGTTCAGGGTAGGGGAGCCATAGGGGTAAAAAGAGATGGAGATACAGAGCGTCATGAAAGTGTTTTGGTGGGTTTTTGCGGGAAAATTTAAACCCACGTGTGGGGCCCAATTGGAAACACTCGACTGCAGTTGGAGAGAAACTTAAAAGGAGGTGACGTCACGCCTGCACAGGAAATAGCAAAGTCATAACAAGAGTATACCAAATATTTGATGGAAACAGACCCCAAATCATTAATAGCAAGGAGAAAAAGTGTTGTGTCAAACACATCCCGGGGGGGACCCCTTTCAGTTTGGGTAAAGGGGGGAGAGCACATTATTAACCCAACAGGGAAATCCCTGTCAGTTAAAAAGTTCCAAAGGAAGGATGTAGATTGCTCGAAGGCCAAGGTGGCGGGGCAAAATATAACCTCCAAGTTGTGTCATAGCCTTTCAAGGTCAAAAAAATGGCAATAACTGAGTGGTTTTTTCGCAAAGGCATTACAACAACGTACCCAAGCTAGTAAGGGGCTATGGTAAAACGTCCCTTACAAAACCTATTGACGGGGGAGACCTGTTGGTGTCTCAAAAACCCACACAAAACCTATTTACTAGGCATTCCATTACTTTGCAAACTGCACGGTAAGAGCAATGGACGAAGGGGGAGGTTTCATGTCCCGTAGTCCCTGGTTTGCGGAAAGGGAGAACAATGGGGATTTCCCAGCTGTGAAGAACCCCTTGTCCCAAAAAATAAGATGTAAAGGCGTAATGGGACGCAAGGGCTGACTGATGAAAATTTTGAGCATACGAATATGAATGCGTCGGGCCCACGCCGATGATCGACAACTGAGAGTGTTGCCTCCATTTTTAAGGGGTTAAAAGGCACATTATACTTTTTCTTCTCTAGAGAAAAAAATCCAAGGGGCTAACTCTCTGGCAGATTTGGGAAAGAAATGGGGGGCATAGAGGGAGTCCCTGAGAAATACGGCCCAGAGTTTTTCCAAATTCATGGCAACTTTAGGGGGTTTGCTTATCAACACCGGCAACCGCAAAAACAGGAGCCGGGGCAGGAAATATTTACCCCTCAGTTTTCGTACTTTTTTCCAGACTGCACTCATAGAGGAAGCAGAGGGGATGGTGGGGAAAATAATCTCGCCAGCAAGTGTTTAGCGTCCCCGGATGACACGGCGAGGATCCACCTTCTGTTAAAATCAAGGAGTCGCTCTGGGTTCTATTTTAAAGGACCTGCCCCCTGCAGACGTTTCAAACGTATGCACGGCACAAGCAGGGACCACCAAAGGACCTTTTGGGGAATGCCTGCCCCAAGTTTGGGGTATAGAAAAAGCTGCAGTGAAAACGGAGGACAGAAAAGGGGTAAAAAATCATCGATGGAGGACCCAAGAAGGAACCCTTTAAAAAACAGTTTGGTGTGAGAAAAAGGTTCCCAAATTTTCCCATTAAATTGCCAGCGTGGGGTCAAGAGGGGGCGAATATAAAGGGGGGTAAGAATGATTTCAATGATCACTGTCATGTAAGTCCGGGGGAACAAACCCAAAGGGGAAATCTAAAGCGGCGGAGGAGAGCAAACTGAGAGATCGATGCAAGAGAGAGAGATCCGAGGATCAAAATGGGTGTGATACCTGTGTTTAAAACATGGGGGGGGGGTGGCAAGAAAAGCCTCAAATGAATTCCACGGAATCACAGTGAACCCCCCCAAGGAAATGGTGGGCATTAAAAACACCAAGTAACAAATCGGTGGCGTAAAGAAAGAAACAAAGGGAAGGGAAAATCCGAAAAATAAGCCCGAGAAGGAGAAGATATAAAGAACAAGCGTAACCACCATGTAAGTGGATACGGCT